TAAATTTTCATTGGTTTTTTTATCACAACGATCAAAAAATGATGCACATCACGATAAAGACAATCTTTTTGTTAAAAAACAGATCCTTTATTGCGGATATGTAAAGATAAGTGTAAGTGAAAAATTGATGAGCGTGCACGTGCACATTAACCGGCTTCACATCCGTCCCTCCGTAAGTATCATCGATAGCGGCTCTCCTCTCCACGTTCCGATGACACGGCGGTCATTTTAAGCGGGATTCACATGTCGGGACCACCCACCTCACGGAATTGGCTGATTACACATTCCTTAACTTCGGCGTTTTCGGCATATCGTTTTAACATTCGCCAGAGAAATTTGGATAGCGGCCGCGCTGGCTGATTCGTGAAGTTCGTTTCGGAGATTACCGCAAGTTTGTGGCTTGGCGACTTCTTTCTTCGGGCTTCCCATTCTTTTTTTTCATGCAGGGTAGGTATGTTTCTGGATCTACTAATTGGTCGTAAAGGGAATGATGTTCTGGCTGGGAGTCGAGTTCCCGTCGTTCCAAAATGTTCTTCGCGGGACGGCTTTGCAACTCGGTCCGTACTGATGAGTGACTTCTTTATCGAGATCTTCTCTTTTAGAAATTAGCATTTAAAGACCTATATGACGTGTTTGTTTCCAAGAATATATATTATAAATTTTATATTGCAATTATATATTTGAAAAATATTTCTTACGGTTATAAATCAAAATGCAAGTCAAAATAAAAATGCCAATTGCGCAATAGACTTGCAATGCTTCGAGTTATATTATTCATTTTTCTCTGCTTATAACAGCACTTTCCGCGGCAAATATTAATATGTGATAGAACACAGCACTTGCATCCATTTATCCAATAAAACGCATTTGTATAATTTTGGCACTTACAACATTTTGCCGTGGCACGTCGCAACTAATGTATGTCTGAAATATTAATATATCGAATTTTCAAGTTTGGAGAATTTTCTTCATCCATTATAATAATTAAGTACTTACTTTTCGAATTATAGATTGATTAAATAATTAAATGTATAGTATATACTTATAGCTCTCTTTTGATTTTACCTCGTTCAATGATAAATCCTCAGAATCTCGTCCTGTCTTTATATCGCAAAAAAGAAGCAGAGCAGGAAAATCTTCTCCACGCAAACGTTCTTCTGATGATCATTTGGCACGATGTCTCGTGCGGAGCTTGTATACATTTACAAAATTTTGTCCTGTGGTTTGCAACCGTTTCTTCGACGATGCCGATGTAGTTGGTGATGGCGATGGTGGTGGCAAATATATTATGTCTCTCGTAAAATTAAGTTTTTACGATCATTTTATGGTCGCGCGCGGCCCGTCGATGCTTAGTACCTATAGGTGTGCATTTCTCACAGCTGCGCTAGAGGCTCGTGCCGACTCGTCACGGATCTCTTTCATCATACGCATCGGTAGAACATTGTAACTATTTTTATGGACCGCAGATTTGGCCACTGAGTCATGTACGTACCTCGACAGGTATAGATAGTTCAAACTGAATCAGTTTGAACGCCTGTTATAAGCAAAGCAAATTTTGATTCAGAATTAACAACGATGATGCACTTTATCAATATTTTTCACTTGTTTGAGAATTTTGAATTTTTTGCGAATAGATTAAGAGGCTGGAAATTACACTATATTTTTATGTGCACCTAAGAATATTTAATTATTGTAAATATAAATTATTATAAAAGAAATATAATAATAAAAATACATATATATGTATATGTTAGTTATGTAAACTTTAAATAGAGGAAACGAAAATTTGTTCTTTAAATGATACGAATAAAGTTGCAATTAACTTTTCTAATAAACAAATGTACTAATATTTTTGATTACACTTCACTGAGAGAAAAGATTGGCTGCTGCAGCAGATTAGATGGTGAAATATGACATAGCATTTTTAATTAGCTGCAATAATCAATTTTTAGTTGCATTAACCTATCCGCAATGTCAGTATAGAATTTCGATATAGGCTAACGCAACTAAGAAAAATTAGCTGCTGCCACCAATTAAAATGCTACGCTATATTCAGCTAATCTTTTCTTTCAGTGTATCTTATTGTAAATTAAGCAAATTACTTACTTCTATTTTCCTCCTTTTATTTCTTCTGCCTTATTTCTGTGAGATATATACAATCCAATTTTGTAATGTAACCAAATGCACAAAAAACTTTGAAAAATATAATACATATTTAAAATAAATTTGTATTTTCATAAAAAAAATGTTGTGAATCAATTCGACTAACGTTTTCTCTTGAAGGCCGAGTATAGACTGCTTCTCGGAAAAGGGATGTTCGGTCTCTCAACTGGTTGCTACTTTCACTTTGTATGAAAAACTTGCTTGGCAAACTTAGGAAGAATTTTCATTGAATGTTGGGACGAATCGCTCACAAAAACTGTTTTCCAACCCATAATGTCCTTGAATGTAAGCGCTTTAAGAAATTTGTTTTTTTTGACAACGCATATAGAAATGTTATTTACAGATATCACAATATAATTTCGTAAAACATATACACATATTTTGCCAGGTTACGATTGGCAATAATTGTTAATAATAATATTGGTTATTAATAAATGTCACTTTTTCAAAGATATGTGCAGCAATTATTAAATTTATAAATGTAAACCCATAAAAATTCATTAATATTGCGTGGGATATTAAAGGAAAACATTATTTTTATAAATTTTTATTTACGTTGCTTTTTCCATCCGCTGCATGTAAATCACGATGTCAATTTTATCAGGGTCTGCGATCTTGGGATCTGATGCTCGTCTATGTAAAATATATCTTATACATGTATATATGTATAAGCTATAGCGGACGTATATATGCATTAATATAAGTAAATATATTCAGTAGCCGCTCTTGTGAAGATACATTCGCATATGCAATAAGAATACGTATCGTCCTCGACCAATATTTACTTCAAAATTATTAATATAACGAATTATTAATATAACGAATTTTATTTCTTATCTTGGAATGTTTTTAATTGTTTATTCCACTAAAGTGTCTTTTAAAATAATTTTTCGCTATACATATATTATATTGTAATTTAATTTGAACCACATTCGTTTGTGACTTTAATATACTCTATTTTTTTTATTACTTTCTAATATACACTATATTAATTTTATAATTGCATCATATTATAAACGTTTATGTTATTTCTATACGTTTAAACAACGTTGTAACAAAAGTAATTTCAGCTGTGAATAATCTGTGATTACACAAATCTGTGATACACTGAAAAAAAAATTGGTTGCTGCAACAATTTAGATGGTAAAATATAGCATATCATTTTTATATGGCTGCAGCAACCAATCTTTTCTTTCAGTGTACATCTATTATAAAATAATATTTTTGTTTCATTTCACTACTAGAAATGAAAAGAAAAGCTTCGTTGGGTTTATATGAGTTTATATGCGTTCACATGTCTGTCCCGCGCATGATCTAGTGACAGTTATGGCATTTACGCCATCGGTGAAAGCCGAGACTGAATTCTAAAGAGAGATCGTGCTTGTAATCGTATTATTTTAGTTGAATTATTTATGGAACATTGCCACTTGGATAAATAATGGCTAGACATGCACGGAATGCAGCGACGTTATGTTTTTTGTAAGTTTGAACTAGATTTATCCAACCAAATGTTCCATTCTAACCCTCTTTTTCTTATTTCAATGATATTACACTTGTATCAGGTCATAAATCAAACGTAAAATTGTCAAATCGACCGAAAGGTTGAAGACAATAACCATAGCCATAAAATTAGCAGACAATTAGGAAAACTTATGAATTGTTAACGTTCTCTAGTATGCTTTCTTTTCTATGCCTGCATTTTCGTTGTAGCTTAGCGCAGCTTGGATAAAAAAAAAGACTGACGTAATATCATAGAAAAAAGGGAGAAGAGGAAGAAAAGGAATTAAAAATATCTAGATAAGTTTTTAGTCGAGTATACTTAATTTCGAAAACATCCACTTTAGCTGTTTTATTATAAATTATATTGTTACACTTAATGGAATAAAAAATTGTTAATTGAAAAATTCATTGGTCATTGAATTTAATTTCGATAATTATATAATTACAATTAATTTCAACGATACTTAAATTGGAAATACACACAATTTATTTAAAATTATCCAGAAATGTATAATCAGAATGCATGAATCATATTAGGACTTTGCAACTTCCATAAACAATTAATTCTTTCTTTTATTAAGCAATTTTTTCTTGTTAAATTTGCACAATAATGATGTATTACAATTTGTGTATTTGAAATAATTTTACGTAACTTTAAATGATGGAGAATTTGAGGGTCGTTATATTTATACAATTATTTTATTATTATAAGAGGTATTCAGATTTGTAGGTAAATATAAATTACAAGTATTATCCACAACTTTTTCTTAAGTGAATCGCTCAAAGATTTCTGGTATCTTCAATCTTTTTATATTGTATTGTATCATTTTTTAATGGCCTTCTCTGCGACACACATTGAATACTTTGTGCGGCGATCAAATTATAAAATGAAAACTCCGCGCCATGTCTCAGAATGGTGGTTTGTTATCTCAGATATAACAAGGAATCTGGAACTCTTTGGAGCAAATAAAAGTCACGAAATTACATTTAGTCCCTTAAGTATCTGTATATATGCCTGTATGGCAGGGAGTGCATATACAATGTCCTAAATTGTACAGAAACCGTATGTTATCGCTGTACCGTAATATATTCAAAATGAAGAACTGAGATAAGGTAGAGTCAACCGGGGTAAAATCATGGACGGGGATTTGGGGATGAGGCTAATGCCTTGGCATCTGGATATCTCTCGCGAGGCGTGGTTGCCGGATAGCTTTCTATCTATAGCACCGCTTCCATGCGGCCCCAATCTCTTCGAGTACTTAACGCGAGGAAAATGTCTCGTGACTATATCGCTTTACTTACTTTATTACAGCTGGGTATGTTGAAAATCGATTACATTCAATTAAGTATTAACTGCATGTTCAATAATGTTACTTTTATTACAATTGCTTTTTTTCTATTTTATATCAATTATTTTTGCATATAATGGTAATTGTTACTGTACAAGATATATTTAATATAAAATTGGTAAGATTTTTTTGCGTTAATTAATTTAAAAAAGCAAAAAGATAAAATATGTTCGAAAAGAATTTACCTAATGAGTTACAGGCTCATTTAATTGTTTTGTAATTGTAATAATGACATCTTAAGTAGCACTTTCATAATATTAAATGTATGAAATGTATTATCGGAATCTTTTGGATGCAAGACGCCCATCGATAGATGCGTGTACATTCCTCAGGTAAAACGATGCAAAGCACGGCGACATGCGGAACGTGTAGAGAAGCGACGATAGATCCGCGTGGAAGAGCAACAGAAAGAAAGAAGAAAAATTCTAAGAGACTGCCCGATGAGAGCCAGGTTCCCATGACGACGCAACCCCAGGAACACGAAATGGTCTAGCTAGCCCATTCTTGACTCAATACCGAGCCGCCATACACTCACGTTGCCTACGTGCTCAAGCTCACCATCACTTTCCCACCGTCTACAAGCCCTTTTAAACTTTCCCCTCCTACGTTGTCCTTTGCATCCTTTTTGCTCCTTCTCTATTCTTACTCCAATAAAAAATCCTGGCGCTTACATGTTGTCCCACTTATAGGTCTATATTATGTATAGATATACGACGAATGAAGTAAAGTGGCTATAGCTTGAGTTAACGAAAAAGGCCACATGATTCTAGAAATTTCTTGAAATCACTTTATTACGGATTGTGTGCGATTCGCTGTTTCGCGATTAGTGTTCACGTGTTCGAAATCAGACAATGTGTTGAACAAAATAAAAAATTAAGAATAATTAAAGTTATGTTTCTGTATAAATTTTGCATGAATTAACTGCGATTGCTTGCGAGAGTTATAGATCTTACGTGGAATTTGTGGATGCAATTGTACAACATAATACATTATTGATGAAGTTAAAGAGAATATACATTAATTTGCATTTTAATAGTCGAAGCGTGAACGTTTGCGATAAATAAAATCAGTACGATTCATCTTGAAAACGCAGGATAAATTCAGACATTTCTACTAAGATATATTGGAATTTATTAATTGATGTTATATTACAAATAACACATGGAAATTAATATAGGCTCGTCAACGAAAGATTCTACTTGTCGCTTTCATCAGACATAGTACACCAGTTCCACGTCCCGCTGGGCGCACGCCACTGCCATATTGGAAGCGCTCCACAAACCGCCGATCGGGATTGGTCGTCCGGCCATAGCGTCTGCCTCCGAAACGAGAGGGCGTCCCGGTGCCGACAGCATTGAAGCGCCGAAAGGCGTCTCGACGCCCCGCTGAAATTGGCACGCGTCGCATCACACGATTATGAGAGACTCGATATTCCGCTCTTCCAACCCCCTGTACTCTGCGACCCCTGCGAGCAACGTCGCGCACCGAACGTATTTTCAACGTCCGCACTTAAAACATACATTCAATGTGAAACGACATATGTCTTAATTAGATTGAAACCTTTCCACTTCGAATACGCTGCTTGTATACATGTAATAAAATAATATGCACTTAAATGAAGAGTAAAATTATGATTTAGATACGTGGACTATTGTTATTTACGTTATTATTCTACGTTACTTTTTCTGCTCCCGGCGAATTGTTCTCAAAATAGCACACAGTACCCTAAACACTATATATATTTCAATTTCGCCGTCCAGTGGGAATTGAGATTTCTTTATTATGTAGAAGGGTTGAATTTTTTTAATCATCTCGGAGGAATTAAATCTTTCGCTGTGTTATGCGAAAGGGTTACCGTCTGTCAGCGTAATGAGAGACAAGGCAAGAGAGAAAAAGCCAGCGAAAATTAATAGAAATTTTTTTGATGCGTAAAAGATCAAAAAGATTTAAACGTTAAAACAATTTTTTTAATTAAATATTTGCTTAAAAGAAACTTTTTTATTCGCATTTACAATTTTTTATTTTAAATTACGTCTTTTTAAATTAAACTTTAAGAAATGCAGAGAAATATCGAATAATATAATATTGAAATATAGAAAACGATTGACGGTTGCTTAAACTGAATGCTATGGATATAACGAAACCTCATTTCAACTTGAAACTATGAATGGAAGGAGAGATAAAAGGCGCTAGAGATAATAAAGATTGTGAAGAGATGTCTCACATAATGCGTTACTGTGTTAGTCGCGCAACCACAAAGTGATGGAAAATATATGAACTTCTTAAATTACTTTCTTTGTCTGTGTGGAGAATCTCATTAAAGATGTTTATTTGTAATACACA